AGGCTTAAATCCTCATCTTATTGTAGTTTCAACCTCCCTCAGAAATGCAGTCTTAAGGGGCACCTGGGTGGCTCAGTGGTTAATAGTCTGCCTTCAGCTCAGGTCATGATCCCGGAGTCCTGGGATCCAGACCCACATCGGGCTCCCTGCTCATCAGGAAGCCTGCTTCTCCCTCTCTTACTCCCCCTGCTTGTGTTCCCTCTCTCGCTGTGTCTCTCTCTGTCAAATAAATAAATAAAATCTTAGAAAGAAATGCAGTCTTAACTAGTCAGGAATTTTTTGATCAGTGCCACTGAGTCTGCCATCTGGGCCCTCTGCATCCCCCAAAGATGAGGTAAACTGCATGATAAGACCCCTTGCTTTTCCACCTAAGCAAAAGCAGCCTTGCCTGGAACAATCCTTTTCTTTTGCTAATAACTTTTTTGCCCCTCCCACCTATAAAAACCTTCCATTTTGTACAACCCTTCAGAACCTCCCCTCTACTTGCTAAATGGGATGTTGCTCAATTCATGAATCATTTATTAAAGCCAAATTAGGTCTTTAAAATTTACTCAGTTGAATTTTTGTTATTTAACAAACCCCAACCTCCTCAAGAAATTTAACTGCCACTTCTTAGTTCCAAGCAGCATGTATGTATTTACAGAATATATATCTTAAGCACTGTTTGGCAGTTACGAAAGCATTAGCCTGGGAGTCCACTACATAGTCTGGTTGCTACTGAAAATAAACCATCCAAATATGTACCAAGCACTCCACTAAGTATTAAATATATAAAGAATTGACAGCGTAATATAAAGTGCTAATAAAGTAAGTACTAAGTGCAATGGAAAACCTCAGGATGGAAAAACTACAGGGAAAAACATCTTGAGATACTACCTGAGGTCTTTTCCTTCTCCTGCTTCCTTGAACCCATCACTCTTCCTTATACCATAAAGACAGCCAAGTACAAAGAAGTCATAATTTAGCTTTAGTTTACATTAGCTATCTAAAGGCCTTAGCATAAACAACATTAAAAAAAAAAAAAAGCATGGTCTTCTACTATCAGAGCCTGGTTTTTTGAGAAAGAAAAGGTTTGCTGAGCTTGGAGAACAAAAAGCTTTAATGGACTCAGCATGCACTAAAGGATGCATATTTATGTAAGAGCAGTTTTTCCCTCTAAAAGTTATCAACCCAGAATGCTATCAAATACAAAATATATTTCAAAATGAAAAATCATATAAAGACATTTTTAGACATACAAAGCTGAAAGATTTCATTTCCATACTGCAACACTCACACTGTAGAAATGTTAAAAAGGAAGTCTGTTACAGAGAAGGAAAATGATAGCAGATGGAAAAAAGGATCTACACAAAGAAATGAAGAGCACTGGAAGTGGTAACTACATGGGTAAATGGATAAGGGGGTCTTTCTTTTTTTTTATTAAAAGATTTTATTTATTCATTTTGAGAGAGAGAGAGACAGAGAGAGCACAAGCAGAGGGAGAGGGAGAGGGAGAAGCAGACCCCCCGCTGAGCAGGGAGCCCGATGCGGGACTCCATCCCGGGACTCCGGGATCATGACCTGAGCCAAAGACAGTCACTTAACCAACTGAGCCACCCAGGCGCCCCAGAAAATTCAACATTTTAACAACTTTTTATTTGATTCAATTCAAGGAACATTCACTCTTTATGTCAGAGATTCTTACAAGGGTGGAGAGAAGTCACTACAGCCTTAGGCCTCAAGGATTTCATATAAGGGAAGTAAAAATGTAGATATACTAAGCCAAAACTGGATATGAGTCCAAGAGGTACAAAGTGTTGTGGATATTTAAAGGGAGATGATACCAGAGATGGGCCTTCAATGATAGAATTTTCACAATAGAAATGATATTCCAGGCAGGGAAAGAAAAGTGAAAGGACAGACAGAAGAGACTCTAGAGCTTGTAAAACATAAGAATATAATGGATTCTGAAAAGTGTGTCACATATCCTTTGTGGAACCAAAAGTGTGAAAAAATAAATAAATAATTACCAAGAATTTCAGGAGAAAAAAGGGAGCCAATTAGTGTTGACAGCTACAGCAAGGTTAAAGAGAACAAGAACAGAAAACAAGGACAGGGACATTTCATAATCACATCACTAGTAGCCTTACCTGACCTCTGTGGTGAGGACAAAAAATAGACCGTAAGATAGATATTTTAGCATGGGCCAAAAAAAAAAAAAAAAAAAAAGGTGGCCCAGTATAAAAGGCTCATCACAACAGAAAATAAGGCAAGAAGAAAAATAAATTTTTATCATATGTAAGACCTGACCATGTTTGCAACAGAAGGAAAGGAGTTAACAGAAAAGCAAAGATGAAAAGATCCAAAAGGGAGAGGGTATACTTGGAACAAAGTTACAGAACGTGGTTGGAAACAAAAGCATGTGGAGACTACAGCCAGGCCTTGGAAAGGAAGAGGGACTTTTTGTCTATGGGAAGGATGAATGAGCACTTCTGAGACAAGAGCAAGGAAGTTCAGGGATCCTGAAAGGCTTGGAACAGAAAGCGCTTGTAGATTTGAGGAGCACAGGCATTTGGTAAGGACAGGAAGAAAATGAGCAAGAGACAAAAGGGATTCTAGCAGCAGTGAGGGCTGAAGGGCATTCAGAAACATACACGTGCAGAGACCCAATTAGCATATTTGATAACTTTCTCCAAACAACCTCAGAAGCTTGGGAGGCTATTCAGGGAGAAAGCAATTTTGAGAAAGAAAACCAAAAAAGTGAACTTGCCTAAATTAAAATCACTCCGGTTGGCACGTCTAAGACAAGTAGTTTCAGGTCAGCACTCTCTTGACTATGCTACCTCTTTCTTTTTTTAAGTAGGCTCCACAACCAGCACGGAGCCCAACGCGGGGCTTGAACTCACCACCCTGAGATCAAGACCTGAGTCAGATCAAGATCAAGAGTCCCTCCCTTAAGCCACTGAGCCACCCAGGAGCCCTTATGCTGCCTCCTTTTTAAACACAATTTTCCTAAGGCTAGTTAGGTTTAAAAGCTAACTGCCAGTTTAAAGGTTTTAAAGCCAGGGTACCAAAGCGAAGTAACTGGATATTTACTAAGACAATAAAATCTGGACTTGATACTTGTACAACGTCATCAGCTGCGAAAAGTCAGGATTCATTAACAGACAAAACCCAGAATGCCACTCACCTGGCAGCTTCAGGAAAACCCATCTTGTAGATCGTCACAACCACAGCTCCTCCAATGCCTAAATTATGCTGCAGAGCAACCTTTGCACCAGGAACTTGCCGTTTTCCGGCTTCCCCTCTCAGCTGCCAGCAGAGTTCGGCGCACTGAGCCAGACCTAACAAATCGAACACAGAGCAGTCAAGTTCCATTGCTATTGAAAGCTGCCCCAACCAGCTTTCTCAAGCCAGACAAGGGCTTACACTGAATCGTAACTTTTAATTAAAATATTTAATTAAGCCAAGACAATGTTTGCATAAATAATGACTTCTCTTAAAAACCATGAGGGTTTCTGCAGCCAGTTTTTTTTTT